TTTGAACCTGAGGGTCTTTAGCAATATATTTTAGGTAATTTTTGCTTGGTATAACTTGATCCCGAATGGCAAGTAATGAACCTTCTGTTTCAGAGAACATCTTTCCTGATGTCAGCCAATAGTTCGACGCTATATTGTCGACATAGTTTTGACTGACTTCATTCGAATATCGTCCGTGCAGAGGTTTACCCATCCAGATAAGAATTTTTTCGTTTTTAGTAAGATGGTTTATGCGCATTTCTTGTTTCCTCAGTTTTAACGGTGTTTTGGTCTTTTTTATATTTATTTTGGTCTTTTTTATATTCATCTGTAGTCCATATTTTTCACAGAAACTATTTGTTTTGTTTAGCAGTAATTGGAGTTGTTCAGCAGAGCTTGCCATAATCACGGTGTCATCTGCATCTCTTATGTTGTTAATAGATCTTCCGTTAATTATTATTCCTTCACTTTGAGATAGTAATGCTTCGTCAAAAATGGCTTCACTATATACATTAAATAGTAATGGGGACATAATACATCCCTGCCTAACTCCTCTACTAATTTCAATTTCTAGGCTGGGTTCGTTATCTATTACAATTTCTGCTCTTTGATTCCAGTAGAGGTTTGTTATTATTCGTAAGTCCCTGTGGTCTATGTTTTTTTTTTAGAATTTGGACTAATTTTTCATGTCTTACTTTGTCAATTGCTTTTTCAAAATCAACGTAACAAACATTTATATCCATGAATCTTTGAGCTAATATATTAAAAGTCAATAACGGTTCTTTGGTTCCTAGTCCGTTTCTGAACCCAAACTGACTATCATCTATTCCTTCTTCCAGTTATTTATTTATACGACCATGTATTATTTTCAGGAATAATTTGAGAATGTGACTTATTAGTGATATTGTTCTGTATTCACTGCAAGATTTAGCGTTTGTATTTTTAGGTATAGCACAAAAGGTGGAGAGTAACCATTGTTTCGGTATGTGTCCTGTTTTGTATACTGAGTTAAATAAGTCTACTACAATGTCTAAGATTTCATCATTCATGCATTTTGAGATTTCTATAGGCATTACGTCTGTACCTAACGCTTTACAATTTTTGCTGTTTTTAATGCCATTTTAATTTCTTTTTTTAATATTTTTAAAACCATATCCTGTTCTACTTCTATCACCATCTGTTCTGTTCTATTGTCTTTGAATGGTTCATTGATGTATTCTGTCCATTTCTTTAATTTGTCGTTAGTATTCAACATAAGTTCCCCAATTGCATCTTTCAGTATTCCCGGTTTTCTCGTTCTATTGTTGTGAGTCAATTCTTCAATTTTTTTAATGTGTGTTAAAATTATCAGGTGTTTTCTGGTATTCTTATATTTCTGCGCATTGTTCTTTTAGCCATTGTTCTTTCTCTTCTCTAAGTCTGTATTTTATTTGTTTATCCACTTTTTTGTGCACCTGATTATCTTTGTTCTTATTTTGACGTCTTTGTTCCATTAAATCTAAAATTTCTTGCTTCATCCATTGCTTCTTTTTATATGTGGTTTGTATTAGAATCTCTTTTTGACTTTTATATATTTCTGTCTTTATTAATAACCATTTTTTCTCCGTCTCAGTATTTTGCAGAATTTGTTCTTTAACATTCAATAATCCGTTGTTGATTTCATCTGCCAGGCGTTGCCTTATGAGTGGGTTCCTTAATTTACTTGTATCGATTTTTGCATTTGTTGTTCTTCGCTTTATTATTTTTATTTTGAGCCTAATTTTGGTCACTACTGGGTTGTGATCTGATCCTATGTCGGCACTTGGATAGGTTTTTGCAGATATAATTGCGTTCCTGTATCTTTGTCTAACTAATACATAGTCTATTTGGCTTCTTACAATTCTCTCTTCTTGATCTGCTGGTGACTTTCAGGTATATAGTCTTCTATTTGGCATTTTGAACAATGTATTAGCTATAACAAAATTATTGTTTTGGCAAAATTCGATAAGCTTGTCACCCCTTTCTTTTCAGTTGCCCAGAGCATATCCTCCTGTACATTTTTCTACTTTTTCTTCCCCAAACTTTGTGTTAAAATCTCCCATTATAATTGTTAAATCTTGCGTTTTAATGGATTTTAAAATGTTGTGTAGGTCTTCGTAGAAAGTTTCAATATCGATCTCTGGTTTGTCTGCCGTTGGAGCATAAACTTGTAGGATGTTTATTTTGGTTCATTCTGGTTTAATTGTAAGAGTATAATTTAATTGGAGTATGAAGTGAAATTTATTACAGCTTCATCAATGTTTTTGTTTAACATTATCCTGACACCATATCTGTGTGAACCCTCTTGACTTCCTGAATAATATATTGTTTAATTGTTGATTTTTCATAATGACCCCCTCTGTGGCTCAGTGGTAAGAGCGCCTACCTTTAAACCTAAAGGTCGTGAGTTCGAATCTCATCTGGGTGGAGAAATTTTCGTTTATTAAAAATTAATAGATGAAAGTAATTTCTATCCATGTGTGATCGGTACTCACCGGAGGGGCCGCAGACGTTCGGATACAATTAGCGTCTCTTAGCAAAGACAATGACGTCGACTTTGCTAAGTATCAAGACAATTACTCTACACACACACACACTACACTAGGTACCTGACTATACCATGCCAATGATCTTAGTTGTCGAGGCATTAACTTAATAATAATAAATTGTTGATTTTTATTTTTCCTGAGTCGGGCCATTGGACATCGCTTATTCCTAAAATATCTATATTTAGCCTTTCCATTTCTTTAACGGCATTATGTACTTTTTCAGCGTGATGTAAACTTCTAACATTCTCTACAATCATCTTGTCTGGTAGTAACTTTCATTGCGGCACAATGTTCCGGGTGGGATGATGAATGCTCTTCACATTTTACGCCTGGGAAATTTGGCTCCAAAAAGGCCTTAAGTTGCTCAGGTTTAGTTCTTGGAGTAAGCCTATTGACATGAAATGATATAAAATGTGGAACCTCTTAAACCTGGGAAGTATTTTCATTTCGGCCCACCACAAAACGACGGGTTCTACGTTTGGCTACTTACCACTCATTATTTTAATTAGGAGTGCGTATCTGATCCCCTAATTGTTGAACATCTTGCATGTTATTTGTAATCTGTACCTGTAAAACTGTACTGTTTACTTCTTGCTTAGTAAAAACTGTATTTTGAGGGTTATGTTTATGTATTTTATGAGAAGAAGAGGAAGACGAGGATGATAAGGTTTAAGGTTGTTGTACTAACTTAGCTTTGTAACTATCATTTGCTTCTATATTATCTGAAGCATTTACAAGGGTTAAAGACTCTTTTGAGTTTGCACTTACGATTCAAGCCATCGGGGCAGTATTCACTCCTTTGTTTACAGTTTCATTTTTTTCCATAGTTTTAATCTTGTCTTGCAATAATTGATTATTTATGTGTAACACATTTTTTGTCTCTTACTTTACCTAACAATTCCTTTAAATACTTGTTTTCGAACTTTAGTGATTCAATTTTTTGATCGGCATTTTATAGTAAACTAACCTCACTTTTACAGCAAATGATTTTATTTCCATTTTCAACGATAATTTTGCCTTTTGCCCGTTCAGCACAACTTGTATAATAAATAGAGAAACATTTTACAGATATATACTGCACACGATTTGTTACAGCATTTCATTATTACATTTTCTTTCGTTAAAGATGACGAGCCGTCATGATCGACCGCCATTTTTTCAGATATATCAAATCTGTAAATGCGAAAGGAAGCAAATCGAAAGTGTTACGATGTCGACTGGGCAAAATGTGTAGAACATACCAACAAATTAATTAAATAGAGATTTATTAGAACAGAAAATATGTCTAATATTAATATCGAACCTATAATAATTAACATTGGAGAAAACAGCTTAGATTCTGAAGGTGATGAAAATGAAATATGAGAAACGAAAAACATACGTTCAAAATATTTCAACAATATTATTTTAGCTAAATAATGTTTCATTCTTTAGCTAAAATCTAAAAGATTTGCACAAAACCCAACGTTTAGGCAATGTATTGACTTTCCTTGAGCGATACCACAGTGAAGGTGAAGATTTTTTAGACCAAATTGTTACTGGTGACGAAACGTGGGTGGCCTACGTCACACCAGGATCGAAACAACAATCCATGAAATGGCGACATTCATCATCACTCAAAAGAGTGAAGTTTAAGCAAACAATTTCTGCCCGGAAAATCATGTGCACAGTTTTTTGGGACAGAAAAGGAGTATTGCTAGTGGAGTTTCTGCCTCGTAATGAGACAGTCAATGCAGCGTCTTATTGTAAGACATTGAAAAATCTGCGTCGTGTAATCCAGACCAAAAGACGTGGCAAGTTGAGTAAGAGTATCATTTTGCTGCATGACAATGCCCGTCCACATGTGGCTAATCAGACCAAAGATCTCATCAAATCATTTAAATGGGAAACTCAAGATCATCCTCCATACAGCCCTGATCTGGCGCCCAGCGACTACCATTTGTTCCTGCACTTGAAGAAACACCTGGGCGGTCAGCGTTTTCAAGACGATAACGAAGTCAAAACATTTGTGATGCAGTGGTTAACAAGTCAGGCGGCAGGATTTTATCAGGAGGGTATTCAAAAACTGATGCCACGTTATGACAAGTGCTTCAATATTCACAAAAATTATGTAAAAAAGTAGATTAAGGTACAGGCTTTCATGCAAAAATAAAATTATTGCCATATCTTTGCACGTCTTTTTTTAATTCCAAAACGGTACCTACTTAAAAAACACGCCTCGTATTTATTTGATAACGTAAATTTTATAATATAATATCCGTGATCAACGCAGTAGCCACTTTTTGTCTATTTTGTATGCTTTAAATGATGATGCACTGGTAAAGAACCATGAAGTCAACTGTATAATGTATAATTACAATGCAACGAATATAGTAATCTATTCCATTTTGATGGTTTTTTTCAATTTTTGTTTTTTTTTTATATACATATACAGAATGATTTCATTATGTTTAGCTCCGCCTTAAATTCATCGTGGAGATGGGAATGCGAAAAAAATTCCTGCCAAAAAAAGAGGAACACGGATGCTACAAATTCGACTGCACTTAGTCTTCCAGCTTGTCGTTTATTTTGTTCTGATAGTGCAGGAATATGGCCAAAACCTACAGGACAATTCTCCATGGTTAGTCTTCTGACAAAAATTAATGCTTATAGCATAGACGTTATTTCAAATTCCTCTGGAAGTGCCATTGCAGGTTTAATGGAAGGCGCTATCAAGGAATTTAGGTCTGATATTCAGGTAATTGTTTACTACTATATTTAAAAATATTGTATAGTATTGTATATATTGTAATATATGTAATAATATAATGTATACTATTAGGTTAGATTGTTTATTATGTAAAATTTTAGCCTTAGGGTTAAATTCATGACTCCGTTTCCTTATAAATACAAAAACACCTTAAATTTTTTTAAAATTGTTCTTCTTCTTGTGTCCATGACCGTTATCGATCGTTAGGTATCATGTTGACTACCATATTCGCTATCGTGACCTTATTGACAGCAGATCTAAATAACGATGTAGTTGATTTTCCATATCATTGCCTTAGATTTTTCAGCCATGATGTTCTTCTTCTACCAGGATCACGATTACCTTGGATCTTTCCCTGAATAATCATATGTAAAAGATGATATTTTTTAGGGTGTTTCATAATGTGACCGAAGTATTCCAGCTTGCGATTCTTTATTATATTGACCAGTTGTTTTGTTTGGTTCAGCCGTCTAAAGACCTCCTCATTTCTAACTCCGCCGACTCAGTTTATTTTCAGTAGTCGTCTGTATACCCACATCTCAAAGACTGTCAAGCGTTTAAGGATAGCCTTATATAGAGTCCACGCTTCCACTCCATACAGCAGGACAGGAAAGATGTAGCAAGATGTCATTAGAACTCTAAGGTCAATGCTAAGATCGTGACTGCAAAGTACGTTTTTCATTTTTACAAAGGCAGCTCGGGCTTGTTCTATTCGGCTTTTAATTTCTGCGGTTGGCTCCCTGCTCTTATTGATATTACTGCCGAGATACACTAGTTTCTCTACTCTGTCCAGTGTGGCATCTCCTACTTTTATACCGTCATCCTGTATATAATTTTGTTTGCTACCCATAATATATTTAGTTTTCTTAACGTTGAGTTTTAATCCATACTGATCACAAGTCTGTTTTATTTTATTCATTAGATTTTGAAGATCTTTTTCGGAATTAGCAAGAACTAAGGTATCGTCGGCATACCTAATATTGTTGACGGTTACTCCATTCACAGTAAGACCTTCGGTTGTCTCCAATAAGGCTTCCTTAAATATTTTCTCCGAATATAAGTTAAAAAGTAAAGGCGCCAATATACAGCCTTGTCTCACTCCTCTTTTTATATTTATTTCATCCGACAGTTCTTGTTCAACCTTTATTCTTGCCACTTGATGACAGTATTTTATGATTTGTAATTATTCGTAGATCTTTATCGCCCAATCCAGCTGTTTCCAATATTTCTAGCATTTTGTTATGTCGGACTTTGTCAAAAGCCTTTTCAAAACCGATTGCACAAATGTACACATTTTGATTTATATATCTGCATCTCTGTACTTGCACCTGTATACTAAACAAGGCTTCTCTTGTACCCAAGTCTTTCCTAAACCCAAATTGAGTATTGGTAATTCTGTCATCTAACAGCGTGTAAATTCTTCTGTGTATTACTCGCAGGAAGATCTTCAAAACGTGACTCATTAGACTTATTGTCCGATAATTACCGCATATCTTTGGATGATGTTTCTAAGGTACTGTGACAAATGTCGACTTTAACCAATCAGTTGGTAATATCCCAGTGTCATAAATTTTGTTAAAGGGATTACACAGAGCTGTAATTCCATTTTCTTCCAAAAACTTTAGTATTTCAGCACTTACTTCAACGGGGCCAAGTGCTTTTCCATTTTTTGCCGTTTGTATTGAACGTGTAACCTCACTTTCTGTTATAAATGGACCTGATATAGCAATCGGTCTGTAGTGTTCTACGTGTTTTCTATAATACTTGTTTCCGTTTGCTTCCATCGACCTCTTTTAATGTCTTGTGCAGATGAAATGTATCTTGTTTCTTTTCATATTGTTCAATTTCATTACATTCTTTACTATGAAATTGTGTTTTCGCGTGTCTTATCTTCTGCCTTATTATTGCGTGGTTCCTCTTGTATTCGTTTTTATCTTTATTTCTGACTTCTCTTCTTTGATCCATAAGTCTCAGTATTTCTAGTGTCATCCACCCTTGTTTTTTTCTAGCTTTTAGCGCACTCAATTTTGTTTCTTGAACAGTCTCAGTCTCAGTACTTTCCTCTTTGCTAGATATTAACTTCATTTTTTGTTCTAAAATACTATACCTTATTCCATTAAGCGGTGCAGGGCATATAAACAACGATAAATTTAACAGATAATTGTTAAAGATGTTCCAAATGAGTCTACTCGTTCCGATAAGTAACAGTATAATTATGACACTTTATTATTTTTTTTTCTTTTCTCAAATATTCGTGTTTATTGCATAGTAAATAAATAAATGTTATCACTGAATACAAAGTAAGTGAAAAAATACTCCGATTTATAAAATTAATGAATATTTTATGCATAAATGCAAGTAACAGTTCTTCAAAAATATTTAAAAACTAACCGGAATGTCCATCTTTATTTCGTCTGGCGAGGTTATCGGCGGTTCATACCGGTTCGGACACGATTTAATGTTTATATTTTCCTGCATGGCTTAATGAATTTTACTATAGTTATTTCTTGTTTTACAGTATTAATTAACATATTTTCCCTATCAATAGTAACTGTTTGCTTATTTGTCCTTGCAACTCTTTTTAATCTCTTCCTACTAAAATATTGTGATCTGTTGGTACATCTGCGCCTGGATATCTGCTAATACTGAATTTCTGTATCTCTTATTTATACATATGAATTCTATTTGGTTACGAACAACTCGTTCAGATTTATCTTCTGGTGATTTCCAGGTGTAAAGATGACGTTTTGAAAGTTTTAAAATTGTGTTTGTTATTATTAATTGTTTTTTGCTACGCAAAAAGATGTCAACATATCTCCTCTTTCATTTAGTATTTCCAGACCATATTTTCTTATGATATCTTCCTGTTCTTCTTCACCAATCTTTGCATTAAAATCTCCCATGATATTATTGATCGTCTTTCTTTGTAGGTGCTAATACTTTTTCTAAACCATGATAGAATTTTTTAATTTCTTTTTATTCATAGTCTTTTGTGGGTGCATATACTGGTAATATGTTCAAATTGATTGTTGTTGATTATATTTGTATCATCAGTATCCTATCTGAGAATAGGACGACGTTTTTTATAGCTTTATCTGTTTCCTTCGACACAATTATTGCTACACATTTTTTTTGTTTTGAGCTGTCTTCTCCTGAATAGTATACAATGTGATCATCTACAGTTACTTTTCCAGACCCTGGCCATCTTATTTCACTTATGCCAAGGATACTTATATTTAGACGCTTTATTTCTTTAATTGTATTCTGAATTTTTCCTGGATCGTACATGCTTCTACATTCCATGTACCTATTTTTCTTTCTTTAGAAAATGTGTTCATGTTTCTAGTTGATCGGGAGATTCTTAGCACCCTGCTCCATTTAAGGAGCGCCCGCACTCGGGGCCGTTGTATTTATCAGCTATTTCCATGATTGTTTCTTGGAAAAATTAGGCTCTAGGTGGTTTCCCGTTACCCTCATAGAGTGTGTAATAGAAGGAAATATAGTGACCCGTCTGCCCTTGGAAACCTAATAGCCATTTGGGGTCAAAAGAAACAAGAGTTAGCCAAGAGAGGCTGATAGGAAAGATTAAAGACATTGCACTCAAGACAAGTTGAAAAAGAGTAAAATTTGAAGGCTCTGATGACACGCCAGGTGCGTTTAAGAAGCGTATGAGTATTAATACACTTTGTGTTCCCGCTCATACCTCGGGGTATTGACTACAGACTGTATAGCTCGTCCAGCATGCCATAGCATGGAGGGAAGAGCGCATGTCATTTTTTACCATGTAGGCACCCCGACTCCATAGCCTGACCCATAGGGCCAGGCCGTTAAAAATTTTATCCAATTTAAATTAACTGATTTTAGAATAATTTTGTTCTCATTCAACTTTCTTTTGGCTTTTTGATATTCATTAGTTTTTGTAATGTTTTAGATGCTACTTAGTTTATTGATGTTATTTTCTAAAGACTTGGCAATTAGTATTATTATGTATACCATACTCTCATCTTCTAAATGTGTCTATCTTCTAGAGATATTGGCGACCCCATTGACCCATCTTATTCTATTCACAGCAGCTCGAAATAGATCAGTTGACGTTAGACCAGTCCATTTCCTAAGATTGACCAGCCAGGATATACGTATACGTCCAGGCCTCTCTTACCCTCAATCTTGCCCTGTAAAATCAATTGTAGAAGTCGGTATTTATCATTACGCATGATTTGGCCGAATAATTTCTTTATCTTTTCTTATCCTCTAGAGAATAGTTGTGTTATTTGTATGGTGTATATATGTAGTTTTAGTATTTTCATAGAGTTAAATAATGCTGGTGATAATATGCAACCCTGTCTAACTCCTTTTTCGACTGTGAAGTCACAAAATACTTGCAAAAATTATTAGAAAAAGATAATAAAATATGAAAACAAAGTGAATACCAGGGATTTTTTAGATCAGTGAGAACAACTACTGATCCAAAAAAGTATGTTAAAGTTAATGCAAAATAATAGCTACGAACAAAATTTAAGATTACATATGATATTTGTCGATTTTAAGCAAGCATAGGACTCTCTAAATCGAACGAGGCCATATGAGGCCATGAGAACATTAGAAATAACAAAAACGCCTGTAAGGCTAGTGAGAATGATGCCTAGAAACAAGATGAATACGGTAACAATAGAAATAAGCTTTTCAAGATAGTTTACAGTGAATAGAGCTTGAAATCAAGGGGATCCGCTCTCAATGAATTTATTTAACCTAGTATTAGAACAAGTCGTAAGAAGATTAAATATGAGCACAAACAGGACTATTTTCAATAGCAGTAAATAATGCATAGCGTACGCGAATGATATATATTTAATAATATATATATATATATATATATATATATATATATATATATATATATATATATATATATATATATATATATATATGTATATATATACATATATGTATATATATATATATATATGTATATATACATATATGTATATATATATATATATATATATATATATATATATATATGTATATATATATATATACATATATGTATATATATATATATATATATATATATATGTATATATATATATATATGTATATATATATATATATATATATATATATATATATATATAATTTACACTTAATAAGTTGTTGTTCTTGCCACTGTTACACCAAGACAGTTTTTATAATTACTTGGTATAATACTTGAATTACCTATTCATATAATTGGCCTATCTATCTGCTGCTTATTTTTTGTACGGGCAACTACAAAAATAACATTCGTTTTTTTTACAATATATAGTTTAGGTTTACGATGTTTGTTAAATGCAATGTAATATCCCTATCCATTGTTGGTAGTGTTCCTTAAAGAGAGGTTTAAGCATACAGTCTCATATATCAGAATGATTTTTGTCCCAAATATATCAGTATAAATCACATATCGATTTCAAGAAACATCAGTGTAATTACATATATATAAGTTTATTTTTTACAATAATAATTTTATTTTTAGGCATCCATTAAATCACCTGTAGAATCTGGAGGAAAGTCTGTAATGGTGTCTATCCGTGTAACTAATTCATCTATTAATCAGCTGACTCTACAAACGGACGAAAGCTACTCTTTGTATATTTCGGAGACTAACTATGGATTAATCGAGGTTTCAATTACATCCAACAATTTCTTTGGAGCGCGTCATGGTCTTCAAACTTTAACTCAATTAATTATCTTTGATGACTTAAGAAACGAGTTACAGATACCAACGTAAGCAAAAATATTGTTTTACTTGAAAATAAAATTTATGCCCACAAAAATAGATGCACCCGACGTCAGACTCTCACAAACACACGCCTTTGCGTATGAACTCGCAGGGATAGATGTATGTATATGTGTTACGGTCGATGTGATAAGTCCGGTATCTATTAATAATTAGCGGTAAATATGTATAGTAACCATAGCAGTTGGTCAATGTGATTCATAATGTATCCCAAAATAAGGTTCAAGAGGTCGCACAGGCGAAAAGTTTTTCAAATTTTTATAAACAATTGTTTCTTAACAAATTGAAACAATCAATTTTTTGACCCGAATAATTTTTTTTTCGATTTTTTGGATCATTTTGAACAAAATAGGTCTCTTCTATATTTTTTGTAAACTTGTTCGTTTTCGAGTTATAAATAATTTATAACTGAGAAAAACGCAAAATTACGATTTTCAAGGCTTAAAAACACAAGTAAAAGACAATATTTTTAAATTTAACACAGAACTATATTCAAGTTCAAATTATGTTCTATCTTTTCCCGATAAGTATTTTGGGTATATTTCATTTTAAAACATTGTTTTAATTGTTAATGGGGAACTTATGACAGGACGGGCGTTCGGACTGTGGCGTTTATAAGAGAGAGAAACAAGATCTAAGGCACAAATTTTTTGCTGATTTAAATAGATCACATGCCATAAGTCAGTTAAAAAATATCCGTTAGGGGCGCTTACATCGAGGTTTGGTATTAAATTATAACCTCATATTCTTCCTTAGATTCAGATACACATTTTATTACATTTTTGCGGATTTTCAGCCATAGTTTCACAATGTTTAAAATTTGTGAATTTAGTGAATTATTTAATCTAGAGATCAAAAAAAATATTCTTAACTGTCCCAATAAATATCTAAGAAGGACTTATTTTGCGATTTATTAAACATTTTTAAATCAGTGGGTATAATAACTCTACTGGTAAAACTTGCCACTGTAATAAAAAAGTGAACGCGACACTACTTCTACAGCATTTCTCTAAAAAATACTGGGGTGTGGAAATGGATAAACTTGCATTTATATGTCTTAAGAAAAGTTTAAGAAGTTTTAGTGAATCCACTAGGAAGCTAAGTTCCTTTAGCTATCTGTATACCATGTATCTCAAAAAACAGGTATAATAAAACACCCAAACGGTCTATATGACAAATTATATTACAAAACGTTTTCGGAATGTTAATTGAATCATCAGTGTAAAGAAGTATACATGCTATGAGCCCCTAAAATATATTTAACTGTTGTTAATTTAAAGTTTTGTTACATTATATATTATTACAGTGTTACAGTCGGTCAGACAGCCAAGCAGACTGGGCGGCCGGATTCTCATTCGCTTCACTGCTAGTGGTTCAGCGGATGTGAGTTCGATCCCCAGCTCGTTGTACAAAAAATAAAAAGGCTAACGCAGCAGTTTAAAAAATCTAAATGAATCTGCGGCTTAGACTAGAATAGCTAATGTCTGATCGGTCTATGGTGGAGCAGTACGGTAAGAAATAAGGGCTTGCGGCTTGGTGATACCCCTCCATAGATCCCTACCGGAAGGGGGTGTGCCGGCTAAATATATACATATATATATATATATATATATATATATATATATATATATATATATATAGCAAAAAATACGACGGTTGATTAAATTTAAAATATATTCAATGGTTGAATAGCAGAGGTTTTATCGGTCAATAATTGGCAAATAAAAGTCGTCAACTACTTTATTGATTTATTTGAATACGTTTCGCTTTTATTTTCAAAAGCATCATCAGTTCACCACAAATAAAAAAGATTTTAGCATATAAGTAAACAACCAACAGGGTTCATACTTACAAAAACAATTTGTAGATTTTTTAAGGATGTTATAAAAACTCTACAATAATTTAACATTAAAGATTACAAACTAAACAAGGGAAACGAAACAAAAAAAAAATACAAGAAAAACAGTAAGAATACTATTGTTCATTTAATTTTAACCGATGGCTTCATTTGAATGCTGGTTTAAGCTCTTTCGAGCATGAAACCACACTTATCATTTAATTGTTTTGTATCGGCTCTAGGATGTCATAATTTTCACATTTTTTTTGTTTTCGTATACATGTGTTTCTTTGAAATGCAGTGAGGATGTACGATTATGAAAGGGCATTAGCGAGTGGAACGGGGACCGATCTTTTTTTAAAAAAGGATTCATTTTTTCTTTTCCTTAAAAAACAAACAAACAAAAAATATACGGAAAGAAGAATGGGAATAAAGTTGATGTCTTGTAAGGGTTCTTTTTTTAATTTTAGGTTACATGGTCCTAAGACAAAGTGTCTTCTAGGACCTGTTGATAACACATCAATGTTGTTCGAGTTGTCCTATTTAATTGCTCCTTCTATTTTAATCTCAATGTTCAGATGGGTACTGAATACTGCATATTACTCTTCACTTTTTCTACGTTGTTTGTTTCTATTGGTAGTCCCTGAAGTACTACATTATTTCTTCTTTTCTCATTTTCAAGTCTTTCAATTCTGTCCATTGCTTGTTTCAGATCTTTCTTGAGCTCCTAATTTTCGTTCCTGATTAGCGTATTTTCCTTTTTTAGATATTGAATTTCTGTTAGGCACTCTTTTTGTTCTTGTTTTATTTCCTTCGTTTCTGCTTCTATTAATCGTTGCAAGCCTTTGATCATATCCATTATTTTTCCTGAGTTATCTTCATTTTTCTCTTTCATGTCTGAAGATCTTTTAGTTTTTGCGCACTTTCCAAAACCAAATGTTTGTGAGCCTTCCCTTCTTTTGCCCTCATCCGTGGTGTACTTGTCTTCACTACTCATTGCTGTCTAATTGTGTTCGTTTTATTGGTTGCTAAGTTCAACTACCCAATCGCGTAAAAAGTAGACCCTGGTCAACCCGTCGTAAGTATTGCTTTTATCTTCTTCTTCTTGAGATGCAAATTCACGAATGGATGTTAGCGATCACATTTTCCATTAATTCTCTATTTCTTGCAATATGTATCAGAGCTTGTATGTCGTTAATCCCTGTCCATAGCCTTATGTTTCGGAGCCAGGACATTTTCTTGCGTCCCATTCCTCTCTTGCCTTCAATTTTACCCTCAATTATAAGTTGGAGGAACTGGTATTTTTCATTTCGCATGGTGTGATCTAGATACGCCGTTTTCCTTTTCTTGATGGTTTCTAAAAGTATGCATCCTTGGTTTATTTTTTTAAGGACATCTATATTTGTGATTTTCACTGCCCATAGTATTTTTAGGATACGGCGATAGAGCCACATTTCGAAAGCTTCTAATCTGTTTATATCCCTCGTTTTGAGTGTCCAGCCCTCTACGCCATATAACAGCACTGACCACACGTAGCACTTAGTAAACCTTAGTCTCAGTTAAAGATCGAATTCTGAACAAGTTAGTACCTTTTTGAATTTTACGAAAGCTTGTCGAGCTTGCTCAATGCGACATTTTACTTCCCTGTCCGATGCCCAGTCTTCAAAAAGCCACGATCCCAGGTATTTAAATTTACACAATCTTTCAATGGACTTAGTATTCAGTGTTATGGTGTAGTTTTCAAGTGCATCCAAGTTTCTGGAGATGATCATACATTTGGTTTTTTTGGTACTAACCTCTAATCCCATTCGCTTACTGTATTCTCCGATTATAGTGATAAGTTGTTGAAGATCGACTATGTTGTCACAAATTAAGACACCATCATCAGTATATCGTATGTTGTTGATCAATACTCCATTCGCTTTGATTCCCATCTTTGCATCCTCCAAATACTCTTGAACTATGGCTTCCGAATAAATGTTAAATAAAAGAGGGGAAAGCACACATCCCTGTCGAACGCCCCTTTTTATATGTATGGGTTTGAATACAGAATTGTCTATTTTTAACTGTGCCGTTTGATGCCAGTACAAGTTTTCAATGCATCTTATGTCTTTTTGGTCTATATCAACTTTCTTGAGGATCTGCATTAACTTGTGGTGTTGAACACGATCAAACGCTTTTTTGGTAATCTAAAAAGCATACTAACACATCCTTCTTCTGATCGTTACAATTTTGGACCAGCACCTGGGTTGCTACTATTGCTTCTCGTATTCCTAAACCTTGCCTAAACCCGAACTGGGAGTCACTGATGTCCCATTCACATTTTTTGTATAGTCTTTGATGTGATCCTCACATCTTTTTGCATTGACTTTCTTGGGCAGGGGAATAAAGGTAGAGCGTAACCACTGTTGAGGATAGCAGCCACTTTCATAAATTAAGTTAAATATTTTGCGTAGTGATGAAATTCCCCTTTCATCCAGTAATTGAGTATTTCTGACAAGATTTCATCTGGTCCAGGTGCCTTATTGTTTTTTTTTAATTTAATATTGCCTTTTCTATCTCCTCTTTGGTGATTGAAGGGCCAGTCAGCTGGTCGTCTGTATAAACTTCACTCATTGATCTTTAGTTATGGAAGAGTTCCTGGATATAATGTTTCCATATATCAATCTTCTCCTTTTCACCCAGCACTATCTGGTTATCCTGATTAACTATACATATATATATATATATATATATATATATATATATATATATATATATATATATATATATATATATATATATATCGCAAAACGGAGTACGACCGTCTATCCAATATAAATAAGGATCACTCAGATGAGTGATGGGTTCAGTCGGTCAACTAGGTGGAGAAATAAAAGACAAAGTTGATACTACTTCATCTATTTTGAAGACGTTTCGCTATCGAATTCTGATAGCATCATCAGTTCATCTAAAAATTTATTTACATTAGAGTATCACACATTCATGAAGAAGATGTTAAATAGTTACCTTAAAAAAGATATGTAGTTGTCAATGGTATTAAAAAGTCAGTACAAAAACTCAAATAAATGGACATCGTATGGTGATATTGTATAAACAATTAAATAACTAACAACATTAAGAGACTTAGTAAAAATTAGCAAAGCAACAGAACACGTGGTGTAATAAGCAGATAATATTTAATATAATATTAACTAGTGAAGCAGAACTAAGAAAATCATTGATTCACTTCCAACTAAGCAAAAAAATTTTTATTTTAACTTCATCTTAACTTTTGGTAGCATTATTAAAGTTAACTACATTAAGATATAAAAAATATGTATAAAAAAGATATAAAGTTAAGTTACCACTGTTTGCTTGGCACCTGTTGCAGTTGAAATGGCGTTAAATTACAAGGTACCGAGTCAATGACATGAAACAGACAGCCAGCCTTGAGGTCGAAAATTAATCGACAGAACGGCAAGGTTAATAATACCAACCCACTAATTTAAGGGCGGTAAATTTGAAAAAGTTAACATGAGTTTAAATGATAACCCTCCCGTAAGAGACCAAACAATGAAAGAAATTAGCGATAACGCTAATCCCCTGCATCAACTAGTCTAGAACAAACAAGTAGGTCAAATTCATTAAACTCCATATTTAAAAGAGTGGTAAACGTCAACAGTGTAGTTTTTTATACATCTACAGGTGTTTGACGATAAGCACCTAATTTCCAAAAAGTCCAAGGTCCCACGCTTGGAACTTTAATTTGTAAAATATTCAAAGGTTGAATTGTATTTATTTATATTAAAGTGAAAACCAGAGGGTCAAATTGATCAATATATGAAAAACGACCAAATATGCAATGTAAGTAAGTTTAAGTTGATTAGTATTTATGTAATAATATATTTTTTATTAAGTATTCATTATAGTAAGTTTAAATTTATTTAATAAAGAAAATGTGTTGAATTATACGACTCTAGAGACACATACATAACGAACTGATTGTAAAGCCTAATTCTGCAATATTAAAGCATGATATATTTGACTCAAGTTACTTATGTCTGTTCTCTTATTTAAAGCATTAGGATGTTTAAGAATGGAACACATTTCTAAGAACTGTCTTTTACTAAGATTGCGCTCAGTGCCAAGAACTTTAACTTCATTGAAATTCACCTTATGTTTGGTGTTAATTGCGTGTTGCGCTAACGCACATGTGTGCTTAGAAAGATTAATGTCACTTCGATGGGAAGTAAGACGTCCTTTTAATGATCTTCCAGTTTGACCAATATAGCAAGCGTCACACTCAGCACAGGGCAAATAGTATATAGTGTTATCTTGTTCCAAAGTGGACAAGGGTGTTTTAGTTTTAGAAAACAAATTTCTAACTTAGAATCTTATGTCTTTTTGGACTATAGACCAAATATATAACTTAGAAATTTGTTTTCTAAAACTAAAACACCCTTGTCCACTTTGGAACAAGTTAACACTATATACTATTTGCCCTGTGCTGAGTGTGACGCTTGCTATATTTGTCAAACTGGAAGATCATTAAAAGGACGTCTTACTTCCCATCGAAGTGACATTAATCTTTCTAAGCACACATGTGCGTTAGCGCAACACGCAATTAACACCAAACATAAGGTGAATTTCAATGAAGTTAAAGTTCTTGGCACTGAGCGCAATCTTAGTAAAAGACAGTTCTTAGAAATGTGTTCCATTCTTAAACATCCTAATGCTTTAAATAAGAGAACAGACATACGTAACTTGAGTCAAATATATCATGCTTTAATATTGCAGAATTAGGCTTTACAATCAGTTCGTTATGTATGTGTCTCTAGAGTCGTATAATTCAACACATTTTCTTTATTAAATAAATTTAAACTTACTATAATGAATACTTAATAAAAAATATATTATTACATAAATACTAATCAACTTAAACTTACTTATGCAACTCACATTGCATATTTGGTCGTTTTTCATATATTGAACAATTTGACCCACTGGTTTTCACTTTAATATAAATAAATACAATTCAACCTTTGAATATTTTACAAATTAAAGTTCCAAGCGTGGGACCTTGGACTTTTTGGAAATTAGGTGCTTATCGTCAAACACCTGTAGATGTATAAAAAACTACACTGTTGACATTTACCACTCTTTTAAATATGGAGTTTAATGAATTTGACCTACTTGTTTGTTCTAGACTAGTTGATGCAGGGGATTAGCGTTATCGCTAATTTCTTTCATTGTTTGGTCTCTTACGGGAGGGTTATCATTTAAACTCATGTTAACTTTTTCAAATTTACCGCCCTTAAATTAGTGGGTTGGTATTATTAACCTTGCTGTTCTGTCGATTAATTTTCGACCTCAAGGCTGGCTGTATGTTTCATGTCATTGACTCGGTACCTTGTAATTTAACGCCATTTCAACTGCAACAGGTGCCAAGCAAACAGTGGTAACTTAACTTTATATCTTTTTTATACATATTTTTTATATCTTAATGTAGTTAACTTTAATAATGCTACCAAAAGTTAAGATGAAGTTAAAATAAAATTTTTTTTGCTTAGTTGGAAGTGAATCAATGATTTTCTTAGTTCTGCTTCACTAGTTAATATTATATTAAATATTATATGCTTATTACACCACGTGTTCTGTTGCTTTGCTAATTTTTACTAAGTCTCTTAATGTTGTTAGTTATTTAATTGTTTATACAATATCACCATACGATGTCCATTTATTTGAGTTTTTGTACTGACTTTTTAATACCATTGACAACTACATATCTTTTTTAAGGTAACTATTTAACATCTTCTTCATGAATGTGTGGTACTCTAATGTAAATAAATTTTTAGATGAACTGATGATGCTATTAGAATTCGATAGCGAAACGTCTTCAAAATAGATGAAGTAGTATCAACTTTGTCTTTTATTTCTCCACCTAGTTGACCGATTGAACCCATCACTCATCTGAGTGATCCTTATTTATATATATATATATATATATATATATATATATATATATATATATATATATATATATATATATATATATATATATATATATATATATATATATATATATATATATATCATTGGTCTTCGTTTTCTGTATATTTCAGCAGTCTCCTTACGCTTTATATGTAAACTACGGTCATTGTGAGGTCGTTGTAATTGTTCTAGATCGATACATTGTTGCTTAAGCCATTCATTTTTGCTTTTATTTGCCTGTTAATGTTTTCATACATATTGCTGCTATCTTGCTTATTCTTGTATCTTCGTCGTTCTTCCATTAGTAATAGTATTTCTTCTGTCATCCATATTTGCCACTTGTTATTTCGTTTGTACCCTAAGTTGTTTTTCATGATGTCTGTTACAGCACTTGTAATCGTATTCCATGTTGGTGTTAGATTTTCGGCAATGTTTGTCGTCAATATTTGAATTTGTGCTTTTATTTCATTGCTTATTTCTGCTTGTATCATTGGGTCTTTCAGTTTGTCCAGTGCTATCTGTTGTTGAGTTTCAGGTTTCAGGTTTTAGATTTTTATCGACCGGTCTTCTATTAAGCTGCAGTTTTCTTCACAATAAATTGTATACTTCTGCTCTTTTTAAATTCTTTACTATTTTTGCCATACGGCAATACCGCTTTTCTACCTGTCAGAATCCCGAGGTCGAATTAGTTCCTTTGCACTTATCGCTTAATTATACAATAGAAACTGTTCATATCTGAACAACTGATCTTGCTTATTATTCTTAGTAATTAGCCACTTACTGTGGGTTTATTCACACTGCGATACGCCTTATAACTTTACACACACTTATTGCTGCTTTGGCACAGTTATTTCAACAAATTGGAGGTTTAAAGACAATTTATGTGCAAAATATCCGCAATAACAGATGGAGATAATATTATTACAAATGATAACCAAATAGCCAAAACACTAGCCAAATACTTTCAAAACAAAACTAAGTCTGAACTCTCCATTTCGTATTCCACAAATCAATCACCACCTAACCCTATCCAAACTAATCCAATAAACCTCGCCTCCACAGAAGTAGAGCTAAATTTGGCAATTTCATCAATGAAAAACTCATCTGTAGGTCCTGATGACGTCCCGTCTATCTTTCTCAAACATCTACAGGCAGGAACCCTCTTGAAGCTACTTCAAAAACCCTAATGAAGAACAAATTTAATGCGTTAATTTGGTAAAAAAGTAACATTTTCAGAGATTATATCTTCTTCTCCTTCTAATGGCGCTACAACCCTTTGTGAGTCTTGGCCTGCTTAACAATGTTCTTCCATTCTGCCCTGTCGGATACTTTCCTTTGCCACTGCCTGATGTTCATGGTTTGAAGATCTCTCTCTACATCGTCCAGAGATTATATATAAAAATTATTTATAACAAATTTTATACTTTGATCTATTTATACATCTGTCTTAATTTAAAATATTTGACTGATAAGTTTGTTTAACAATGAAAAAACAAAAATTAATATTATTATGATTTGTAATATATTTTATATTATTTTATATTCCAGGAGTGCAACTATAACGGATAAACCACATTTTCCGCATAGAGGAATTTTACTAGATACTTCTAGAAATTTTGTTTCTGTAGAGACAATTAAAAAAACCATAAAAGCTATGGGAGCTTCAAAACTGAACACATTCCACTGGCACATTACTGATTCCCATAGTTTTCCCTATGTATCACGATCTCATCCAGAATTATCTCAGCTAGGTGCATATAGTCCCTCAAAAACATACACTGCTGAAAATATTAAAGAAATCATAGAATACGGAAAAATCAGGGGAGTTAAAATCGTTCCGGAATTTGATGCTCCAGCTCATGTTGGAGAGGGATGGCAGGATAGTGGTTTTGTAGTGTGCCTAAATGCTCAGCCATGGCAAAATTATTGCGTAGAACCACCATGTGGGCAATTCGATCCTACACAAGATAAGTTATATGATGTTATTGAAGGTAAGCTATAAAAAAATACATAAAAAAGTATATTTGTTAATTTAAATTTTGCCAGTAAAATGTACAATTTACTATAAAAAGTTTATGTATGTTGGAAGTTTACTGATTCCCACACAAGGAATTTAAAGCAATTATAAAATTACTAAACAATACTAAAACTTATGGTATTTTATATAAATCAACTAAATTTATAAAATCAATTGCGTAAAAGTTCACATCCTGATAACAGACAATGGGAAATAAAAATATTAACGCAAGAATCGCCAAACACAAAGATGTGGCGACAAAGGGTGAAGATTTAGTTTAATTTAATTAATAATAAGTTCTTGTAAAAGTTAAAAAACTTACTTGAACGTAGCGCATCGTAAATGATTCTAATATTTAATACAACAATACCTCATTGATGGTATATTAGACCGTCGGATTTCAATATGAAGTTCACTCATGATTTTATCTCAATGTAACAAAAGTAAATTTGGAGTTTAACCAAGTTGCGTTTTTCTAAAAATCGAATTTTCCTAATTTTCCGTAACTTTAACGATGGTAAATTTTTTCTAACGACCTGAATTCTGCGTTTTTTTACAGATTCCTTATCATGAAAACTATCAAATTTTGTGATAAGTGGCGTGAAATATAAAATCACGTATATTAATCTATTGACGTTACATGTTTAGGTCAACTGTTTCCTAGAAGCAAAATAGAAGAGCTGCAAATTGTAGTTGGTCGCACTACGCAGTACTGTGAGAGCTCTGGAATAGCTACAATTCCAAAAAAAAAAAGAAAAATCAGGATTGTCCGTAAGAACAATTGAAAACGACACAATCCTCTTTAAAGAAAAAGCTTTAGGGAAAGTACCCAAATACAATGACTTTGGATGTAAGCTAAATCGTCCCTACCATTTCCAACTATCGAATGTGAAAAGTGGTACTTTTCAGGAGAGCAAAATAACTCTTTTTTAGAGAATTCTAAATCAGCGCTCTGACAAATGGAAAATTTTTTATATTTTTAAAAATGAATGTTTGATCCTTGTTAGATTGATATCAGAATAAAACTGCTTACTGTTTGCTTCTTTCCACAAAATCACATTCGTTATTTTGCTTTTTGTGTTAATCAACGATTCGTTTTGGTCTAATGTTTTAAAATTGCGAATGTGGCATTTTCGACAGTTCATATTTGTATAATTTTAGCACATTTATTTGGTGCAATGTTTCAAAATTGCGAATGTGGCATTTTCGACAGTTCATATTGGTCTAATTTTAACTTATTAATATTCTTAATTGAAAAGGAGGAAAATGAAAATAATCTTAATGTTTTTACTAAGTTTATTACAAAATATTTAATTAAAAATTGAAGTTATAGGGTAAAATGGAAAAATCATGTATAAAGAAATTATTAAAAGTATTTTTATGAAAGTATGTATTGATCGAAAACTAATGTAATTAGAAAAGTTAAAAATAATCACAATACAATTATGGAACTTCACGTCCTGTAGATACCTCAAGTAGTCAGTAGTAAAATAACGATAAATTAAAGTAAAGTCTTAAATTTTAGATTCAACATTATCATTGTCTTCAGTTGCGTCAGGTTCTGGAAGACAATCTCTGGCTGTATTAGATGTTGGTAAAGATTGGTAATATTGGTGGTATGGCCTAGGTACATAGCGACAAGAGGTTTTTTTTCTTCACATCCGTGATTGAAAATATTTCGTCGTATGCCTTAACAAAGTTTATACTATTTTGTTTGCCTCTTTTTTGTATGGTTTCAAGAGATAAGAAGTTTCCGTCAATGCTAGTCTTCATGTAAAGTTTGTTATTTTCATTTTTCCGATACTGACCGATAAAAACCGATAAAAACGAGATAATAAAGTTCCTCATCGAAAGAACTTCTTGGAAGAAATAATTCACACAATTATTGTGAATACGTGCGTTTTGTTCTTGTCAGCAATGTTTAGTATTTTTAACATTTTGCAAATTATAATTAAATAACTGTATCAATTACAACTCTGAAACTAATGTATGTGACACAGTAAAAAACAAAATAATAAAGTGCCTCACCGAAAGAACTTCTTGGAAGCAATAATTCACAAATTGTGAACACGTGCGTTTTGTTCTTGTCAGCAATATTTAGTATTTTCGACAGTTTGCAGATTATAATTGAATAACTGTATCAAATACAACACTGAACTTAATGAATGTGACACATTCGTCATTTTGCATTGTACATATATATGCCTTTAGTTATATTTATACAAAACAAAATATCGAATATTCCATTTTCGTCAGTTTGCAGCATATTCGATATTTTGACCAAAACAAAATGACAAAATGTTCATATTCGATGGTTTAGACAGAATATTTCCCGCGTTTCTGATCAAGCTACAATTTCGATATTTTGCTACAAGGTGTATCACGTTTAATGCAAGGACAAGGTATCGAATCTGAAAAACCCGATTTTTCACATTCGATAGTTGGAAATGGTAGGGACGAAATGAACAATGAAACCGCAGTCTTAAAATCAAATGTATTTTCGTGACATGGCTAGAAACGCTTTCAATAAGATAAAGGCAGTATTATGCAACGGAATACTTGAAATAGAAATTAGAACCAGAGTACTGAGATGCTACGTATTATCTGCCCTTTTATATGGAGTTGACTCCTGGAAAATTACGAACACAACTGAAAAAAGTCATACTAACTTTAAGATGTGGTATTAAAGAATATTAAAGAACGTGGAACATATCATGGATACAACACATAATAAACCTGGAAACATTAGGAAATCCACAAGGAAACTGAATTCCTGTAGTTGGCTGTGTATAACGAATCACAAAAATGTTTTGTTACAAAAATTTCTCTATAAAAGGTACATTAATATGAAAAACCCTATCGAGCTACATCACAGAACGTTGTTGGAATATATATTCCATCATCAATGCTATCCTAAAATAAGTATTAGGTACCACTTTAATTAAAGCAAATCTGAAATTTAAAATTTTGACCACGGTTATTAAAAAATGTGTGTAATACTTACTGGATTTACATGTTTGAAGTCAGTAAATGTATTTGTAAAAACCCTTTAAATATAGTTAGATTACCTTTCAATTACGTCTTTAATATTAAAAAACTAGGATGTTTAAATTATCAACGGAATTGGTCACATAGTAAAGTAGGACTCTTATTATTACTTAAGTTCACTAAAAACCTCTCATCCTATAACCATAAAATCATGACTCATAATTTTAAGTAAATGGGGCCATGCTTCATTCTTTACTTATGTTGTTTCCATCATATTTCATAGTATTACCATTGGTATCATTACACCATATTCCAATATGTGCAATATTGAACAATACAGTACCCAACTATAATTATACCCTGACCTTTAATTAATAAAAATTTTACCAAAAATTTACCTACATTATATTCTTGATTATTCATATTCACACCCAAGCAATACAATTGGTCAGCAGCATTTATTTTAACTCAAAATATTCTTTAATAATTATACCAGCAGTATAGTAAACCAATTATTTTGTTCATTTTCTATATCAAATATACACTCACATCAATGAACATATCAATCTGTAATATTAAAGAATCCAACATCTTACACAACGTACTATCTGCTTTTCATATTTCACCTACCAAATGTTAATTAAACAATGCTTTTAGCTCTTCACCATTATATCAGATATCTGTATAGGCGGTTGCCTACCTACAATTATATATTTTATCATTTTATCAACCTTCAATAGACCCACGATAATACCTAGTTTACTTGTTTTTCGACAAACCTTCAGGGTAAACCGCATTCTAAATTCAAACATATTAGTGGTTACTACTGTTATAATCAATCAAATTTTAACATTTTTAATTATAGATCATAGCGGCTACAGTTACATTTAGACACATACCTTCGGTTACATTGACTGCTTTATTCTGACTTAAGTCCTAATATGTCATTTTAATCAATTGCTATCAACAAGTTCTCACAGACACTTCGTCTAATGACTAACAATCCCAGTAGAGTCCTATGTTACCATGTGATCAATTTCATGTATAACTTAAACATCTAAGTGTTTATCTTCTAACATCATCTTAATATCAAAGACGTAATTCAAAATTATTCTAATTATATTTAAAGGGTTATTACCCATATATTTAGGGGCTTCAAACATTTAAATCTTGTAAGTATTACTCCACACTTTTGTAACAACCTTGGTCAAAATTTTAACTTCCACGTTTGCTTTAATTAAAGTGGTAATACTTATTATAGGACAGCATTTAATAACGAAATATTTATTCTGAAAACATTCTGTGATGTAGCCCGTAGGTTTTTTATATTAATATACCTTTTATAAAGAAATGTTTAATGTAAAAAGTCTATTTGAAACTGTTTTCTTGTGGGATGCTTAAAATTAATATTGTATTGATATGGGAGTAAACAACAGTTAATTGTAATAGGAATTACATTTTACGTTTCTTTCTGACATTTCTATGTCTACCCCAAAAATTGTTCTCCAACAAGAATATTTTAAAATAACGACTTGTTGATCTTCTTCTTCTTTTTCTTCTTCTTTTTATATAAACATGACTCTGTCTGTTTTTCAATGTGGTTCCAATAAGTTGTCGTGCCATCGTTTTCGTCGTCTTCCTAATGATCGTTTTCATATTGGGGAACCGTCTCTTGCCGTCTTTATTACTTTATTTGTTGTCATTCGGTTTATATGAACGTTCCATTCTACTCTTCTATTTCTTACCCAGTTCTTGTTGTTCTCCACCTTGCATCTACGTCGTATATCTGTACTTCTAGCTCTGTATCATAGTGTGCTTTCATCTCGGCTGTTTCTAACATCCTTTTTGTCCTCTCTATATAAGATCTTGTTTCTGTCGCGTATTTCATTATTGGTCAGATGACTGTTTTGTAAATTCTGCCTTTCGTTTCTTTCCCGATATTCTTATAGCTCCATATTGTTTAATTTAGGCAGCCTGTTGCTCTGTTTGCTCTATTTACTTGATTTTCCACTTTGGTTACGAGCTTTCCGTAGCTAGATATTGTGATGCCTAGATATTTAAACTCCATCACTTGTTCTATTATCTGACCTTCCAGATCCAATTTACATCTTAGTAAATTTGCTGTGGTAACCATGCTTTTTCTCTTTTTGGGGAAATTAACATGTTAAATTATCTGGCGGTTATATTAAATTGGTGCAGCATACGTTGTAAATTATCTTCAATTTGAGAGATTAGTATTGCATCGTCTGCCTAGCAGATTATTTTAAGTTGTTTTTCTCGCATTTGGTATCCTTTGTTAGTTCTTACTTTTTTTTTATTATTTCCTCCATAATTAGGTTAAACAATAGAGGACTCAATGAATCTCCCTGTCTCACCCCATTGCCAGCTTCAATAGAGTCGGTTAGTTCTTCTTTTACTTTTATTTTTATTGTGTTGTTTTGGTAGATATGTTAGATCGTTTTGATTATTTCTAGAGGTATCTCTTTTGCCTACAGTAAGTGGATAACGTCTTTTTATTTAACCCGTCAAATGGTCCACGAAACATAGAAATGCCGATTTGTTGTATTCTAATGATTTCTTTTGCACTTGCCTGATTATAAATATAGCGTCGGTACATGATCTTCCCGACCTAAAACCTTGTTGTTCTTCTGCTAGTGTTATCATTTCATTCAGTTTATTTGTTATCACTTTGGTTGTTAATTTTAGTGTTTAATAAATTAATTCCTCTGTAATTTTCCGGGTCCGATTTCTCTCCGTTTTTGAAGAGAGGTATTAGGATGCTTGATCTCCATTCTTGCGGAATTTTGTTTTGTTCTATTATTTTTTAGATTAGTTTTGATAGTTGTTTGGTTAGATCTGGTCCTCCGTACTTTAGGAGTCCGGTCGGTATAATATCCTCTCCTGGTGATTTTCTATTTTTTATTTTCCTTATTGCTTCGTTTACCTCTTCCTCCTCAATATTTATTTTTTCGTTTGTCGTCACCTCTGATGTTGGTGGTTTATTATCGTTACCTTTAGCAAATAGGGATCGAAAGTAGTCTACCCATGTTTCCTTCTGAATGTGTTTCGTTTTTATTAGTTCGCTCAGTTCTTTTATTTGTCCTCTGATCATTTTCCATATTTTTTTTGTGTTTCGTAGAAGTCGTGTTCCATCTGTTTTAAAAAACTCTGCCAGTGTTCCTTTTTTATTTGTCTAACTAAAGTATTTGTTTCATTTATGATTTGTTTATAGTGGTTATATGTCTGTTGTGTTTATTGTGTTCTGCATTGTAAATAGGATTTCTTCTTTTCTTCCGAATTTGTCTTCACTTCCTCTTTTAATGTTATTTTGACCGTCCAAGTGTATAGACGTAGTCAGAGCTCCGCTATCTAATCAGTGGTAATTAAGATATCATTAGTCGTGAGTGATAACAATGGCCATGGCTGTAAGCTATCACGATAAATTCAAGTAAACTTAGGTAAGCGAAATATTTAAATATTTATAATGTTTCCTATTCATACCGAAACGAATGCACTACTAGTCCAATGTCCAACTACTAGTCCGATGTTCGCAGAGAATACACAACGTTCACAAAATGAGCAGTCGCTTTATAATGTATGGTGTCAGTCAGAAGAAAATGTTAAGAGACTTAATACGGATAATCAACGATTGAGTCAAATAATAGCCGATATGGAAAAAAGATTAGCACAGCTGGAAAAAGCCTAACTAAAAAGTTAATCGTAAGTGCTGATGAATCACAAAAGAAATTAAAAACAGATACACTTGAATACTATACCGATGAAGAAGATTTTAGCGTATGAAACGGGCTGGATAAGAACCGAAATCAGAAAAACTAGCAAAAAACGTAAAATGGACACCTCATTATCTCCTCCCTCTCCACAAAAATCAAGTGCAGAGACACAAATTGAAAAACCAATCCAAAAACCAAAACCACCACCTCCGGTTGTAGTAGAAGGTTTTCAAAGTGCTGTTGACCTGAGCAAGCTCCTGACTAAGGCTGGTATTACCTTCACTATAAAAATCATAAACAGTGAAGTTATAAAAATTAATACAGCCAATAACGATCATTACAGAGCTTTAATAGAGAAATTAAATACTAGTAACATTTCGTATCACACTTATGAAAATAAGCAAAAGAGACCAATTAGAGTTGTTGCTAAGAAATTGCATCACACATGGCCACCAGAGGAAATAGTAAAAGACCTACAAAAACGACAATATAAAGCCATTTAAGATGACAAGAAATTCAAGTGGAAAACTAAAAAACAGAACTAGATATATTCATCCTAACATTTAGACAGGATGAAGATATAAATAGAATTTACGGCATAACACACATACTTAGTACAAGAGTTGAAATCGAGCCATTATGGAGGTCAAATAATAGTAGTTAATTGATTTATATATAAGATTTATGATTAAGATTTATTATATTATAAGTAGAATTTTTTAAATTTAAAGTTTACATTTCAGATCTCTATGGTGACATGCTCACCCAATTTGAACCAGAATTATTTCATATGGGCGGAGATGAAGTTGCCTTTCAATGTTGGAAAAATACGCCAAGAATCGTCGATTTTATTAAAAATAAAGGGTGGGACACCACAACGGATGAAGGTTATTTAAAGTTATGGGACTACTTTCAAAATAATGCATTGAAGAGACTTTATAAAAAAGCAGGTAACTTATGAGAAGTATTATTATAAATTTTACTTAAAGAAATTACTTTTCCTTTATCTCCCTTTTTTATTTAATTTTAAACCCTTTGTAATGAAGGTAGAAAGTGTTAATAAAGCAGTACTTGATTGGTTCGGTTTCTTTTACTTCTTTTCAGATATATTATTGGGGTTTCTATGATTAATTTTAACACCCTCAAAATCATTGATTAATGACCCCTATTAATGAATGATTTTCTATTAATGAACGATTTCATTATAGGCAATACAACATACATTACTTGCATAAATTAATTAAACGCTCTGTGATTAAACGCTGTGGTGTAGGCAACCAAACATATACCTATTTAAATTCCCACTAAAAAATTTAAAATGAAGTATCCACTGTTAGTACTATCTGTCATTGTATGTCATTATTTACTTTATTGTTTAAAATTCTGTGTATTTGAAAAATCAAAAGATGGATATTGACGAAGAGTGTAATTTAACTCCACCAAAAGTGGCAGAAACTGCAAATGAAATATCTTTAAAATTACTGCCTGAAAAAAGCACAGTTTTGTACGAAAAAACATGAAAACACTGAATTTATTACATGGTGTGATGAGAGAAAAATATTACGATATTCAGAATCTGTATTGTGGACATATTTTTCAAACATTGCCCAAAACAACCTAATAGCTAGTTTGTGGCCCAAATATTCGATGCTAAAATCAACCTTAAGTTTAAAATCAAACATTGATATATCTTAATATAATAAGTTAATTATGTTTATCAAGAAAAAACTCGTATTTCATAACATTTCATTTTAAAGGTTACATTGATTTTCGGAGTGGCTGGTGCGTTAAGAAAGGACGAACTATTGAAATTAGAAACAAATAACGTTCAAGACTTGTCAAAGTTTCTTGTCACAATGAATGTATCAAAAACACACACAAATAGAATATTTACCATAGTAGATAAAAAAACATATATCATTCTTAATTCGATAAAAAAATATATTTCTTTGGTTGGGATTCTATTACTACCCTAGCTTATCCTCTTAGCAGCCTCCTGCTTGGCGTAAGTTTCAACTCTTAAGGTCGAACCATATGCAGCTTGCCTACATTCCTGTTAAAAACATCTACTTCTGGCACTGTATTTATCTTCCCATGCTGTGTGAAATATATTCCAGCTGTTCCTCTATTTATGTATAAGTGAAAATGTGTTCTCTTCTAGTCTCTACCTGTAAACTGTAGGGAAAGAACAATAAAACCAAATTTCGAGTTTACAATGTATTAAATAAACTGTATACTACAACTAAGACAACAAGATATCAGTTATAACTAATTATTGTTTATTCAGACGTGAAGGGAGACGAGGAGAGACTCTAGCAAAAGACTAAAGGCTAGACAATATACCATTGTAATATATTCCCCTGGGTTAGTATTTATGTTTAGTTACCTTCGCGTACTTAGGCCCTAGCTAATGAATACGCTTTTCTAGTTCAACTGAATTCAGGAACCGTATGTTGAGGGTATTGTACGCTATCACGAATTTTTCGAGATACGAAATATCCGGCACTTATACGGTACTACTGTCCTGTCGGAATACAATAACGCGCTCACTGGTGCCACTTAATTATTGCCCCGGTCGCCAGCACTTACAGGCATTGAGCACTCACGGGTCTCCCGTACTTACTGCCCACTATAACTGCCGAGCGCTTACTGGACGCTACTGCCTCCGAGCACTCACAAAGCTTCTCTGTCTTTTGCAACGTGGAATAATTCGTCTACAGTCATGTTTGTCCAGTCTCGAATATTTCGCAGCCATGACTTCCTCTTTCTACCTATTCCCTTTTTGCCATCGACTCTACCCTGCATGATGACCTGCAGAAGACTATATTTATTATTTCTTAGTATGTGTCCAAGGTATGCAGTCTTGCGTACTTTTATCGTTCTCAACAATTTTTTGACTCGACCCATTCTTCTCAGCACTTCCTCATTGGTGACCCTGGCAGTCCATGGGATTATCAACATTCTCCGGTATATCCAAAGTTCAAAGGCTTCAATCTTTTTAACTATTTGCGCTTTTAGTGTCCATGTTTCTACCCCGTACAATAATTGCGACCAGACGTAACATTCAACAAACCTCAGTCTCAGCGCAATATTCAGATTTTTGTCACAGAACAATTGTTTGAATTTTAAGAACGCTGCTCTTGCCATTTCTATTCGTACTTGGATCTCTTGGTCTGGATCTAATTCTGTGTTGATGTAAGCTCCCAGATATTTATATTTTGTCACTCTCTCTATTTGCTGTCCACCAAGAGTTAGTTGTTCATTATTTATTGGACTCCTTGATACTATCATAAATTTGGTCTTATCTGTGTTGATGTCAAGTGTTGACGAAAGTCTATGGTTTCGTAATTTTTAAACATTAGGAGTTGCCCTTGGTTTCGAGCTTGTGTAATACACGTTAACTAGATCGAATTTTCATTCTTTGCTTAATATGAAATGTATACGTTAAACTATGTCGAATTTTTTGTTCTATATTTAATTTGGAATATATAATAATTATCTAAATAATTATTATTCTTATCTAGGCTAACTAACCCTTATTTATTTTCTTTTATTTCCTTGCTATATTACATTACAGTTGGCATAAATACGTTTTCCAAAATTTCTTCCGTTATTGCTAAATTCTTAAAATTAGAGCATGCGCATCTCTACACTGAGAAAATTAAAATTTAAATAAAGTTAATGAAAGCCAAAGCAATTGTTTTTAGCTAGATTTAAACTAAGACATCTTTATTTCTGAAAAGTACGGTCGACGGAAAAGTTAGGACCCTTAAGCTAGCGGGGACACATGAGCGGAATCCAATTTAACCTACGTAATATTTTTTTACCCATTTTTCACTAATTTATTACCACCCTAATAATTTTTCACCACCAAACCAACCTTAAGGGGAGCGATTCTGCTGGCTTAAGGTTCAAGCTAGCAGAATTCAAAAAAAAAACTTTTTGTTAATGGCATATTTTTTCACCCATTTTTCACTAATTTATTACCACCCTAATAATTTTTCACCACCAAACCAACGTTAAGGGGAGCGATTCTGCTGGCTTAAGGTTCAAGCTAGCAGAATTCAAAAAAAACTTTTTGTTGATGGCATGTTTTTTCACCCATTTTTCACTAATTTATTACCACCTTAATATTTTTTCACCACCAAACCAACCTTAAGGGGAGCGATTCTGCTGGCTTAAGGTTCAAGCTAGCAGAATTCAAAAAAAAACTTTTTGTTGATGGCATATTTTTTCACCCATTTTTCACTAATTTATTACCACCCTAATAATTTTTCACCACCAAACCACCCTTAATGGGAGCGATTCTGCTGGCTCAAGGTTCAAGCCAGCAGAATTCAAAAAATAAACTTTTTGTTGATGGCATATTTTTTCACCCATTTTTCACTAATTTATTACCATCATAATATTTTTTCACCATCAAACCACCCTTAAGGGGAGCGATTTTGCTGGCTTACGGTTCCAACTAGCAGAATTAAAATAAATATGTACGACATACCATAGTGTTTTGATAGGTTTTTACGAATTTATTACCACCCTAGCAATTTTTCACCCCTTAACTACCCCTTGTGAAAAGTCAATAATTGTGATAGATTAAAATTAAAGGAGAATTTTTTTTTCAAATTTACTCTCCTCTACTTATAACTGAAATAAAAAAGTGTTTAGTTAAGATTTTACTAAACTTTGACCATCCTGATAATTTTGCTCCCATAAACCTATTCGGAAACTTGTCTGCTAGCTCAATATTCGAACCAGCGAAATTAGAAAAAAACGTATTTTTGAAATATTATAGTATTCTATACCAACTTAGTAATTTTTTATCCCTCGACTAACCCTTGTTGGAAGTTAATAATTCTGCTATTGAAAAAGTATTGTTTTATAATTTTACTCTTTTCTGTGGCAAATAGATTTTTGTCTAATGCCATTTCTCTCTCATACACACACATACACACACACGCACACACACACACACACACACACACACACACACACACACACACACACACACACACACACACACACACACACACACACACACACACACACACACACACCACACACACACACACACACACACACACACACACACACACACACACACACACACACACACACACACACACACACACACACACACACACACACACACACACACACACACACACACACACACACACACACACACACACACACACACACACACACACACACACACACACCACACACACACACACACACACACACACACACACACACACACAACACACACACACACACACACACACACACACACACACACACACACACACACACACACACACACACACACACACACACACACACACACACACACACACACACACACACACACACACACACACACACACACACACACACACACACACACACACACACACACACACACACACACACACACACACACACACACACACACACACACACACACACACACACACACACACACACACACACACACACACACACACACACACACACACACACACACACACACACACACACACACACACACACACACACACACACACACACACACACACACACACACACACACACACACACACACACACACACACACACACACACACACACACACACACACACACACACACACACACACACACACACACACACACACACACACACACACACACACACACACACACACACACACACACACACACACACACACACACACACACACACACACACACACACACACACACACACACACACACACACACACACACACACACACACACACACACACACACACACACACACACACACACACACACACACACACACACACACACACACACACACACACACACACACACACACACACACACACACACACACACACACACACACACACACACACACACACACACACACACACACACACACA